CGTGACAGACAGATAATTAACAGTACATCGGTCAGGACACCCAAACAGTCATTTCGTTTGGGACCTCAAATGTGGCATATCTTCTGAAACATGTAAGTAATAGCATCATTACATGGCTGGTCGCTTTAATGTTAACTTAGAAAAATGTGCGCTATTCGAGTGTTTGTGCTGAGTGTGGAAGCTGAATAGCAGCGCACTCACTACATGACAGTTAACATGGAAATGCCGGTGTTGTGCCGAATTCTGCACTCCTGCCAGATCATGCACCCCCTCGTTTTGGTAGGTTTAGGAGTAGTTGTGAGGTGGGGTTAGGATTAGGCAATCAGTTAGCGACTTCAACAAGGGGGTGCATAATCTGGCAGGGGTGCAGAATTCGGCACACCGGTGCAATCATTTGCATTTAACTTAAAATACTCCATTATTTTTGGTCATACAGATAAGAGTAATACATTTTTTAAATCTTCTTTTATTTGTGTGCACTCACAATAACAACAAAACGTTTTGCTTTTGTAACATGATGAAAGCAAACAGGGAGTGCTTTCTGCCATCTAGGTCTCTGTGAACTTGAGCGTGTCAAAAACAAATTTACATTTTACAATAAAAATGAACACTACAACCGAAACACTAGTTTATCAATGAATTATCATAATGTTAAGGCAGTCTTCTTGCCATTTGTTCCCTTACGCATTCATAATCATTACTTCTGCGGTGTGCTGTGGCAAGTTTTATGTGTGCGCTTGAGCGCTGATAGGCTATAGGCAATTAAAGGCTCATTATTATGAATTATATGGTTCATAAATATAAAAGTGCGATCAGTCTAAACGCTTTAAATGAATAACTATTAGTCGATCAGAAAAATCTTTAGTCGAGGACAGCCTTAGTTAAAACACCTTAATGATTTGTTTCTTACAAACTACATCTCTTCACACTTCACAAGACATGATTATGATGTTTCTCTTTGACTGCACCCATTCACTGCAGAGGATCCATTTGTGAGCAAGTGATGTAGTGCTAAATTTCTCCAAATCTGTTCCAATTAAGAAATAAACATCTACATCACGAATGGCCTGAGAGTGAGTATACATTTTCAACAGATGTTCATTTTTGGGTGAAGTATTCCTTTAATCTTGCCATGACTATTGGCCCTGCCTTGCGCTATCAAGTAAATCTGCAAAAGTCATCATGGAAAGTCATTAAATGCTTGGGTAAAACAATTATACTCAAACTTTGCTCATTATAATCTCTGTTGAAGTATGGGCTTTATTGTGATTTAGCACATTTGGCAGTGATCGTCAAATTCCATTCATTATCAGAAGATTTATCAGTATTAAATAGGATTTTACGTTGTAATCGGTTTTAAATGAAGATGTGATGGGAATGCTAGTCTGCCTCATCCAAAAGTCTGACTGTCTACGTGTGATATCACACAATCGCATCCAAATCCAGCAGCGAACTTATGTTGAGGGATTTCTTTAATCATTTACGTTTGAAAGACTTTTTCCCCTAAATCCGCACCTTAACGCATCAATGTCATTTTGCCAATATCGGCTCAAACTGAGCAATATCTCTGTCTGAAGCTCATATCTTTACCGCAAGCCTTTCAGACTACAAATCACAGTGTGATGGTTTCAGTGCAAGTCTGCCGTGGAGTTTATGAGCAATACTTTGTGGAGATAGAGTTCATTTCTCTTTACGACAGCTTTGGCTGGGGTCATAGTGTTGCGACATGGAGATCGGATTGTTATTTTTCGGTCTAGAAAAACATGAGCCAATATCTGTCTGCACCACTCAGAAAGGTGTTGGGGGAAAAAATATAACCTAGCTGCCATGTAGCAACACTTATAATCTGACAGCACTGTAAATGAAAAATGCATCTATTAGAGTCTGGAAACTTATAATCTGACAGCACTGTAAATGAAAAATGCATCTATTGGAGTCTGGAAACAGTCTAGGAGGGAATCACTGAAAATAAGTAGTCTTTATATTTAATTTTCTTTCTTCCACTCATCTTTTGTATTCAGACTATGAAGCATACCAACATAGCCAAACATACCAAACACTTCAATAATTTTGACTATTAATAAAATCTAGTCCACACTGCAGCTTATTCTAAAAACCACCCACTTAAACAGCAATCAATTGTCTGATCAACGTGTAAAGTCACAAACCATAGTTTTTATTTATTTATTTATTTTAATTTATATTTTTAGAGGTGTGGGCAAATCTGCAATCTAGAATAGGTTATCAGCAAAGAAAAGAAGAATATATGCTCACTAAGTGCTAAATTTGATAAAAAAAATGTACCTTGGTTCAACAGTAAAAATGCAACTATACAAGGAAAAGGAACTAAATCTAATTTGTCAGAGACAAAAATATTAAATAAATAAATAAAAATAAATACATAACTTAAAAAAAAAAGAGAGAGAGAGAGAGAGAGAGAGAGAGAGACAAATTGCATGGCTACATTGCTTGAATTTGGCTTGGGTAATTTTGTGTAAAAAAGATCTCACCACCCCCACTGTCTCTTAATAATAATAATAATTTTTCATGGCCAGTAAGCATTATTTATGGCAGGTGTAACCAGAATTGCATTTGGACCTTGGCTCAAGGATAGCATTTACTTGCTATTAAATATCTCCAACCAATCTCCTGAATGCAAAAAAAAAACAAAAAAAAACCACACACAAATGAAGCTTCATTTCTATCCACTGAATGTGATCAGCCCTAAGAAAAAGTAAATACATGAATAAATGAATTAATTAATTAATAAATATGCAAATAATCTATCTGCCTGGCATTCTCTTGTATATTTAGCAGAAACAAAGAAACAGAAATAGTTCAAAATAGAAATGATAGAGTCCCATCGAATGTAATCCTAAAATCAATATATAATGAACCAAAAGAGAACTCCGAAAGCTTCACGTTTTAAGCATAAAATGTCCTTTTATCTGCAGCCATTCATCTGTTAAACGCATTCGATGGATACAGAACCCCACTATGAGCTGACAGAGCAGCAAAGGTCCAGTGCGGCGGCACATTACATTGAGTCACTGCTACTGATGAAATAATGTGGGCTGGTGAACATTAAATTACAGACAGTGAGATGTGAGATGTCTATATTCACAGTTTGCTGTTCTCTGCAGTTTTCGATGAACAAGTATTATTAAACAACAATGAAGTTGTCAGTGAATAGTCAAGCTAATGAAGGCATTCAGTATTGGGGCAATGTCTTATGAGATCTAACATCAAAGGCTTCGTCTTAAGCTAGGTATGAAGAGAGAGGGGGTTTTATGATATGCAGGCTTAATTTATGCATGTGTAGCGTCTGGACCAATCAAAAACACAATTTTTCATTTGATTTAACAAATCAGTTATTCATTAGATTTGCTCATAACTGGAGTCACTTAATCATGCCGATTTATGCTACAAGCTCTGTGTAGAATTGAACAGTAAGAAAGTTATTTCCTTTAACCAGGAAATTAACGTTCTTAGAATTGACAAACAGTTGACCCTGAGAGGTCAGCTAAATATCTACAGCGGATCTAAATATTTATAATTAATTATAACTAGTTATGATTAATTATTCATATTTCCCCATGAGCTGATTCGCTACAATGCATAGATAATGAAAACTCATTATGCTGATTTACCAAGATGAAACATATTTGGATCAGTTTAATTATACAATCCTGCATGCATGAAAATGAGTATTCCATTCAGTTGTTTAAGAAATAACATTTAAATTATAAATAAACATACAAAATCAGCAGAGTTGGAATGTATTTGAATGTGAAAGTGATAATGAACAGCAGTGTCAACTAAAGGCAGTCATGACTCACACACAAGTCTCGTCTTAAAGACTCATGGTGTGCATTATTTCTGTACCTCAGACAGCATTGCCAGAACACAGCACTGTTGCACATATTCCGAAAGTGTTTTTTTTTATTAAACCTGTCTTTTATGCATCTCTAGCTTGAATTACTTTAATGCAATCACTCGCATTGCTCAATCAATAATAAATAGCACATTTTCAAGTGTTTTTGTTAAACCTCTCTTGCAAACCTCTAAAAATCAAAGCACAAATCAAGCAAAATCACTTATTCAATCAAAATCTAAAACAAATCACACATTAATTATTATAGAACCACTTGCAACCCATGGCACTTGGCAAAAATGGCAAAAATAATATCAAACCACTAATCAAACTCTAGCCGGATCTTCTTCCATGCAATCATTTCTCTAATTAATCAAAATCAAGTTTTGCATCTGAAGTTTGATTTGCTTCCATGCAATTATTCCTTTAATAATCCATAAATGCAAAAAAAAATACAACTGAAAATCAGTATCAAAAACTCAAATCAGCATTAATCAATATTGATTGAAGACAATCGATATCAAGTGATCACATCAGTCTCTAGTCTTTCATAATTATTAATTTACGAATTACTTAAAATGACGTATAATTGAAAAACTAAATATGAATATTACTTGAAAATCATACTCATACTCTAACAAGGAGAATAAATATCAAGTAATAACCTATACATATTCTTACTAGTCTGATGTGCTTTCAATCAATTATCAATTCATCAACACCTAACAGGTAAGTCAATATGAAATCACTTATCAATCTGATCCGCCTTGATGCAATCATTGTTTTTAATCAATAATTGTGAATGCACTTAAGATAAATCAACTGATCACTTACAGTCAATAACACTTATACATCCACCAGTTATCATTTATAAATCTCAAGCTTAATTTGCTTTTATGCAATAACTAATTCATTTGTCAATACATGTAAATCACTTGAAAGCACTTATCAACGATAATCAATATAAATCAATCAATTTATCATTTATCAACCTCTGCTTTTATGCAATAATTTATTCATTTATCAATAAATGAATTTATCAATGATTATCAATATCCTCTGATCACTACATGGCACTTAGCTATCAATGAAGTGACTGTCATAACCACTGCCATCAGCGACTCACCAGCAGTGTGGGGACTCCAGTGACCACCGCGTACAACAGGGCGGGCGGGATGGCGCTCGTGTCCTCGGGTCCGAGGTAGGGTTTCGTGTACGCAGTCTCGTAGCAGAAGAAGCCCTGCACGTGCACGTTGAACGTGTCCGTGTACTCGAAGTAATATGCCAGCATGACCGTCCCCGCCATGATCACCAGCTGGAAGTAAAGCATGGTCGTCAGAGAGTGGGGCAGGAACATTTACCAACAATCCAGTGGAGAACCTCCAAACATCTGAGCTCTCGTTATAGTTCCCGCATCTCGCCGGGGTCTGACGCTCCGAGCGTACGCGAGGTTGGCACGCGAAGACGCACGAGCTGCATGGCACAGCGCTCGCGCTGGAATGAGAGAGCGCGTGCGAGGAGAGCGCGAGAAAGTGCCACCGCGCGCTCCTTACTACAGCCAGCTGATGATGATGATGAGACACGGCAGGCGCCGTGCTCGCGCCCCATCATCATCATCATCCGCTCAGAGGTTATTCCGTCAGTCACCAAATGTCACCTCTGCTCTTTCAACACTGACGAACAACAATAAAGCTGGCTCTTTCTGTAAAATATACTAACACACAGACGGTACAATGTCAAGTGATGATTTAAAGTTCATAAACACGTTGACCAATCATAACGTAACGCGCACACTAACACAAAAGAAACTCCATACAGGTCGCACGTTTAAAATAAAATGTAAACTAACTTGCTGGTTCCAGCAGGGAATTTAAAGAAAAAGAAATTCATACCCTTTAGCTTATAGAATGTATATATTTTCACAAAGTATTGCCACAATCGTAAAATTTGCCTATATTAAAGGGGTCCTATTATGCTCTTTTACAAAGTCTTGATTTTGTTTTGGGGGTGTACTAGAACATGCTCTCATGCTTGGTGGTTCGAAAAACGCATTATTTTTCACATAATTTACATTATTAAAATACCTTTCTCCCCAGCCTGGCACAAACGGCTCGATTAGTTCCGGCTTTGATGAAGGTCCGCCTTCCGAAAAACAAAATGTGTTGTGATTGGTTAGCTGTCCCAGTGCGTTGTGATTGCTGAACAGCTTAGACGGTGTTTCAGTACTGCCACGCCCCTCGCTCCGTCTTTCAACAAACTAGTGATGGGAAGTTCGGATCATTTTACCGACTCGGACCTTTGAGTCTCGTTCAGCAAAATGAACGAATCTTTTTTCGAGTCATTTCGTTCATTTCGTTCATTTTAACAAAATATAATTAAAATGTTACGTGTTACTTCCCTAATATGTCTACTACTTACGCAAACGTTGATCACACTACAAACAATACAAAACTGCTATAAGAAACAGAAAATATTAATTCATTGTTTACCTGAGTCTTCAGTCTATGATTAGCTCACCTCCTCTTATCTGACAAGTCTTCGTGTTTGGGCTTATGGGGCTGTCACGTGATGAACGAACGACTCGGAAAAACCCGAAGACTCGAGATGAACTAATCAATTCTCTTTC